TTGTTTTTTATTTAAAGTTTCAAAGTTAGCTTTTGTGTGTGTGCACGTGTTCTTGTGTTTCTGTGTGTGTGTATGTTTTTACCTGGATCTTCTTCAATATTGGCTGCAATTTTTATAAAATAAAATTAATTGTATAAATAGACTCATTCGTGATATTATTAATTTCTGTCGAATAGCTAATTTAAACTTGACGACATTTGGCACAAATATTAATTTCAATGTAATTGAAATTTTGTAGATACATTTTTGAGCCGTTACCAAAGAATTACTTTAATTTTATAATCTGAATATTTAACTGATCAATAAACAAAAAACAAACTTTTAACTATTTTATCACTTATTAGTTGTGGCGAATCTAAAATTTTAGGTGATCTTCCATGAAGTTTATGACCATTTAATTTGGCTCAGCTCTCATTGCTTAAAATAAAATTCAAAATTTTATTTTTTGGTTTTCATTCCGTTAATCTTTTTAAGATTTTCCAATGTTTGATGTTAAAAAATACTAGATCATTATGTATGCATATTTCGAAAGTTGTTAATATTATGTCAAAAATATTTTTCAACTATATTGTGCTGGGAGGATGCGTTCTTGCTCTTCCCCTGGATTTCCCACCTTCCATTACTTATTCTCTGAACAATAATATTGAATGAAAATATAATAATAACGGCAACAACAATAATAAAAATAATAACAACAACAATTACAGGAATAATAATAAATTAATAAATAAATATTTGAAAACTATTACAAAACTGTGCTATTTTCAGTAGGTACATTTGAAAAAAATTGTTTAACCTTGTTGTTCACCCTGCAAATTGCTAGCTTCCATTTCTAAAAATATAAATAAATTAGCTAAGTTTATTTGTCTGTGCGATATTTCTGTTAATTTTAGTCACACTAATGCTAACGAGTAATTTTTTTTTTCAAAATTTTAGTGTTTTGTTTTAAATTTGTTTTCTTCATTTGAATTTTTCAAAAATCGCATTCTTTTACTTTAGAAAACATGCTAGTAATTGAGGATCTCTTGGCATTTTTACGAGATAAGGGCAATGACAAAACAAAAGCGTTCCAAAAAATATGATGTTTAGAATTTCAAACGGAAGTTTTTTGTATTAAAATTTTATAATTCTGACATCCAACAATTACGTCAAGAAACAGAATGGGATTTTAATTTATATTTAATGATAAATAATGAATTTAGATAAATAAAAATGAAAAAAAAATGCCTTCTGGATTTCCTTCAAAAGCTTTTTAAAATTTAATAAACAAATACAAAAACTTTTAATATAGTTGCAATTTTGACCACAATTTTAAAACAAAAACAAAAATTGAAGATGAAAATAAACATTACGACGGACAATACAATAATTGTAAAATGGAGTGTGCCGAGTTGTTCTTTTGCAATATTCAGAAGATCTAATTATATATATATATATATATATATATATATATATATATATATATATATATATAATGAACTAAACTTATGACGGAAAGAATTTATAAATGCATATATGCAATCGTCAAAACTAAAACTTCATAACAACATATATACATATATATATAATTTGGTATGAGGTTCTCAGATAAACATGTACGGTTGAAGATTACACCCCATTTTTAGGATTTTATGGCTATAAAAGCTAATTGACTTTTTAATCATGAAATAAGACATTTCCACAACCCAGAGATTTAAATAACCTACCTATTTTTTTTTTTTTTTTTATTTTTTATGTTTCATAAAAGTTATAAGGTTGCAATTTAATGTTGATATTTGAAGATTTTTTTTGGAAATTTATTAGGGGGAGATTTCATATAAATTTTTGGAAAATGGCAAAAATTGATGACAATAGGTGTCTCCACTACAAAAAAGGCCCTTTCTACCGTAAACGCCTAAGAACAAATGTTGTTTAAAGGCCGTTTTAAGGCGTTTTTGTGAATACGCCTTTATACATATTTATTGCTAAATAATATTATATCCAATTGTTAAATAACTAATAATTCTTCAATAAATTGTCATATCATTAAATATTATTATCGACTTCCCATAATTTCTGCATTACTTCTTGTCACTATGCTAACTTTCTACACTTCATCTACGATAATACACAAACAATTTTATTCGTAATTTTTCTTTTAAATTTATTCGTTTATTTTATTTTCAACAATATAATGAGTTAATTTTAAAATATAGGTTGTTATCCATTTATTTATTCATTTTAATATCTAATATTCTATTTTCTATTTCTTATAATTTATATTATTAACTCCTCATTTGGTTTTACAATCTAGGCTCCGACGATGGCATTAGCCGAAACGGCCGTCAGCCAAACTTCACAGTTTAATAAAGTTGAAACAAAACAGCTTCGTGTTGTTGAAATTTTATTTAAAAAACTTCTAACTACAAAATGGGGTGTAATCTTTAACCGTACATATATATATATATATATATATATATATATATATATATATATATATATATATATATATATATTATTACAACTTATGTAGCGCCAATTAAAATGTAAAATTTATCAAAAGCGCTCTCAAAATGCAAAAACAAAAACAATGTGATGAAAACAAATAAGTCTTTAACAGCCTTCAAAATGTCAACAAATTCAGACTATGCATATATATTCATAATTATTTTTAACCTGCTAGATTCCCTTCTGTACATAATTTGAAATGTAATTAATAAATCAGCTTTATTTTAAATATTCTGTTTATTAGCATTGCTTATTTAAAACTTGATAAACAAAGACTAAATCTCGTTCCAAAATTATTGGAATAAAAATTTCTTAGAAAATTTACGGACTATAAATTAAATAATGCCTAAAAAGCAGTTATTTTTTATGTAAATATGTAAGTTTATCCGTAAATTAATTAAGTTTTCATGTCGCAACCGTCAGTTTAGTGTCTGAAAAACCTGATTTTTTAATGATGATGTGAATTATTAGTACTTTATTAGAGAATTATTAGAGAATTAAATGTATTATTACCTAGTTCCATTCCAGTTGATGATTCTGTTCATATTTTGAAAAGAAAACGTGAACAAACAAAATTTTAGAAACACTCAAAATAATTAAGAGTATAAAATCATTGAAGTTCAGAAAATATCAAAAATGAATTGTCATCTGAAAACCAGGTGAACGGACAAAAAAAAGCTGAGAAAATAAAAGGCCTAGAATATATTTCAAGACAATTAATAGTGATTTAAGATCACAGTTTGCTCACATGCTGGTATTTTGTCAAAATAAGATAAACTAATTATAATTACAAAATCCATTTTATGATTCATGAAATAAACTTGTATATAAAAAATCTTAAAGTTGTTATAATGGAGCACCGTTATAAAAAAATCTAATTTTAGAAAACGTAACACTTCAAGCATTGGATGAAATATTATTTTATGATTACATTCACAATCACAGTTTTTAAAAAAAAATAACAAAAAAATTTACCTAGTCCTAAAAAAGATGGCATGACCTCAAATAAATAACTAACTACCACTCCCTCAGCTGAAAGGAATGATACAATTTTAATTGATACAGTTTATTGCAAAAAACGGCAATTAAGATTTTAAGTTTCTGCTTAAAATGATTTAAAAATAAAAATAATTTTTAAATTATTTTTTGATTTTATTAATTACTTCCTTCTTCGGAAAGTGCAGCAACTGGCAAATTTTATTAAATTGAAATTTTAATGATTAAATAAAAAAATTTTGCAGGACTATTGAACTATTTTAAAAATTCACACGAAAATTGAAATTATTTGAATTTCACGCTTCATTTATGTTCTATGAGCTAAATTTTTTCATACTTGGCAGAAAAATGTACAATTAAAACATTGTCAAACATTGTCAGACAAGTTTTTTGAACAAAAATTTAGCATGAATGATTTGAATTTGAATAACAGAAGAAAATTTAGAAAGGTTTTTTTAACAATTCGTTGCAAAAGCAGCAACAAAATTATTTTTTGCAGCACACGATTTTAATATTGCTGCATGATGGCCTAGTGGCTATGGTTGCCTGGTACTGTTTCGCCATGACAAGGTTCGAATATGATAGGAATAAATCCCCGCCAATCATATGCTTCTGTTTGTGTGCTGTTGATTTCTTTGAACCAAAATAGAGTGTAATAGACCTGTAACTCTTTTCTAGCCTTGAAATTGCAAACAAAAAAAAGACAGCAAAAAGTAAGATACAACACAACGCCGAACATTATAACCAATCACGTAAACGTTTGAAATTACCACATATCATTGAAATATGGGTGTGAACAAAATAAACGCAAACAATAAAAAAAATGGAGATTTTACCAATACTTACCTCCTGCTGTACCTGCGGATTTTTAATTTAATCTTTGGATTAAGGCAGTTCTGTATTATTATTGTTGCTGAAGAATAAAAATGCAAATTAGAAAAAAAATGATTAAACACTAAACTAATGAGCAATTTTTGAGTTGAATTTCTGAGAAAAAAAGGATAACAACATCTGACATCTGATTCAATAAGATATTTTGTTGAAAAGTAACCCATAATTCATATAATAAAGTTTATTATGATTACGACAGCTTGTAGGGATCAAACATTCATTTATTAACTATCTTATGTATTAATTATTATTAAAGATTATTGCAATTTTCAATGTTACCTAATCTATGTTAATTTTTATGTCCTTGCTTCTCTCTCGACTTCTTCCCTTTTTTTCCTGATAGCTTGTAAACGAAACGGTTCGAGATTCACGTGGGAATAAAGATAATATTTTATTACACCTGAATTGTGTTTGTTTTATTTATTTTAGCTCACACCAAGGTGTCTTGTTAGTAGCATAAGTTCGTACTAACGAATTGGTGACCTCCGACGTGATCTGAACAAAAATCCGACGTGATTTGAACGAAAATCCGACGTGATTTGAACGAAAATCCCACGTGATTTTGAACGAAAATCCGACGTAAAAAGAAATACGAAGATCCACGTGGTTAGATCAAAACGAAAACAATGTTCCAACCAAATGATGACCCGATCTCCATATTACCTCTTTTCAAGAAAACAGTGTCAACAGATTGGTTCGATAATTCCAAAATGCAATTTCAATTGCGAAACGTGATGGGCAAAACATCAAGATTCTATCACGTAATAATTTCCCTGCCGTTGGAAATAGTCTCAAATTTGTCATTAAAAGTGCAAAGAGGAACAGATTACGACGCTCTAAAAGCAGAGTCATTATCAACGTTCAAACAAACTAAACCAGAGCAATTCCAAGAAAAAGAATCTTTTAAAATAAATTTGAATCCAGTGAATGTAAACAAAATTGAAGAGAGGCAACCTCCAGAAGAGTCCAATAAAATAAAAGTTGTCCTGAGCAAGAACGAAGATAAAAATGACATCCAACAATCACAACAGCAAAATGCTGTGCAGAATGTTACCATCCCATCGGCAAATTCACACATGAACGATTCTCTCTTTCCAGTTCTCTCTCTTCCTTCTCCTGTCCACAGCAGCAGCAGCAAGATTATCACAGAAAGAAAAAAGCAGAGCTTAGTTCATCGTCCTCACACACATCTCATTCTAGAAATCGTTTGCAGCTAGACAGAAGGTTGCATGAGAAGCCAGAACAAAATTTGAACCAGCAACAAAAACGGCAACCGCGTTTTCAGCAACAACGCCATCATCAACATCTCATGAAACAAGATAAATGTCAACCACATTATCAGCGACAAAAGCAACATCATTACGAGAAACAAGTTAAACGCCAGCGATATCAGTACCAACAACCACATCTTCAAAGAAGAGTGGAAAAATCAAATTCAACTGAAAAAACAAACATTTTTCCATTTGAATGTCTCCGCCTCTTGCGAGGGAATATTGTGAAAATGAAATATCTTCAGCAATAGCAGTAACAGGAACCAACTTATTATTACCAAGTCGATTTTTATTCCCAGATTCAAATGATGATATAACATCTAGTCAAATCAAACAACTAGCAAAAGAAATGTTTAAACTTAATGACTACCTAATAACTAACAATCAACATCACTCTACCCCAAAAGCTTACGTACCAAATGCCCTTTCAAACAGTAGTCACGTATGGTTAAGAGTAGATCGGGTACGTCGTCCACTGGAAGCACCATATACAGGCCCTTTCAAAGTGATTGAACGTAACGATAAATACTTTAAAATTGAATTGTTACCAGGAAATTTTCAAAATGTGTCAATTGATCGATTAAAGCCAGCTTGTTTATCATTACCTCTAACAGCCAAAACCAGAATAAACAACAAGAATAGTTCAACAACGAACAACAAACTTTCTACAACAGATTCAACAAAACAAGCAACATCAGACACAAAATCTAAGTATTGGTTCGACCTAAGTTGGAGTACCGTGTTCAGCTTTGAAATTTAGACTTACAAAAGTACAGATATATGCTTGAGAATATTCAAAGGAGGGCAACAAAAATGATAAAGGAATGTCGCGGAATGCTATATGAAGACAGATTAAAAATTTGTGGTTTGACAGCATTAAAATAAAAGAAGAACAAAAATTTTTTTTTTCAGGCATACAAAATCATCACTATGAAAGAGAATTTGAAAACAGTGATTGAAATTTTTTGAGCTTGTGATGAACAGTAAAACAGTGTGATATAAATATAAGATCTTAAAAAATGAGGCAAACATTTTCCGTTGCAGAGTTGTCAACGAGTGGAACAAACTGGGAGATTAAATATTATGCCCAGAAACAACTAATAACTTTAAAGCAAACTTAGGAAAAATAGGAATTTAAAAAGAGTGGTCCTATTACAAACTCAGTCTTATGGAATTGCGTTTGAAATGAAGAAAAACTTGTTTATATGTTTTGTCGATTACTACAAAGTTTCGATAGTGTGAAGCATGTGGAGCTTATGGATATATTGAAAAATTTGATGAAAAAGAAACAAGAGTTATTAAAAACTTCTATTAAGGAACATAGAGTAACGATGAAATTGGTAAGAAGATGACTAGTTTTGTCGAAATAAAGAAAGGTGTTAGGCAAGGCTGTGCATTCTCTACAGACCTATACATATACAATCAATCTCTATATTGAAAAAGATAGCAGATCTACCTGGAATACCCATTGAGGCGTAAATATTAACAATGTAAGGTATGTTGATGATACAGTTCTTACAGCAAATTTAATGGAGAAACTGCAAACATTTGTTTCTCAACTGGTTTTTGAAAATGAAAGAAAAAGCTTGCAAATTAATATAAAAAAAACAGAGTGTATGGTTATTAGTAAAAACAAAACCACTCCGATCTGCTTTTAATCATTAACGATAAACAGGGAAACAAGCCAACAGCTGCAATTATCTCGATAGTCTGATTACAAAAGATTATGGAAATCAAAAGTAGGATAGCTATGGCGAAAGGTGCAACAAAATCAAATTCAAGTAAAAACGCAACAATCAACTGTGTAATCTGTTGTGGTAGTTCTCGGTGGAACTGATTTAATTTTTTCGAAAGTTAATCATTATTAAATGTAAATTTTCAAGTAGTAGTATATAAATATAAAAATGCTTTAAGCAAACCTGTCGTGTGATTTGTTGGAGCTATGTAAATCATTTGATGTTAAACGATAAAAACTTTAACTTAAATGAATAACTAGCAATAAATTAAAGTAAAATACCAAGAAAAAATAGTTTTTATTTCGAAAACAAATAATATGCTTTGACCAAGATAAATAGCTTTGTTAATATACGCCAAGAATTTTATAATATCAACTCTTCTAATAATTTTGTGGTCATTTGTATTTCTAGATCAGGTGTGTTGTATACCAAAATGTTTGGTCCCATAATCGTTTATGAACATTTTCACCATTAATTAGTATTCTATTCTCTTTAAACCATTTATCAAATTTTAATAATTCATGATTAGTTGAAAATATTGTCATCATTTAAATTCTTAGACAAAAAAAATTTATGTCATCGCCAAATAGAATGCAGCAAATACATTTGATACTGGAGGCAAATCGTTGATGAATAGAAAAAACAACAGATGTCCCAGAATGGGTCTTTGCTATACTCCGTAATTTATTGGCAGAATTTGAATTCTTCATTCGAACATAATATAACTGATTCGAGAAGGTGCTGGAAAACTTTTATAGACTTTTCCACAAAATCCGTAACAGAAAAATTTCTTCAACAACACAGCGTGATTTATTGACAAAGCGCGATTTATTGGAATTCGATTCGTGAAACAGGTATTCGTGAAAACATAAATCTCTCACGTTGAAAGAAAAAATTATTATTAATTGCTTATAATTTATAATCCTGTCAATCAAAAAATGGAATAAATAACTGCTCTATATCGTTACCAATCAGAGCACAACAGTTATTGACAAACATGAAATCGAAATCGGAGCTGTCTACTGATATAAATATTGCTCCTGAGTTCAAATCGACCGACAGCTTTTTTCATCGAATTGAAAGCATTTCATTAAAAGATTTAAAAAATTAATTCTACCATTTTCTAACATTTCATGTAATATCGACCTGATACCAACATCTCCTATGACAAAATTTTTCGATACATTTTTTCCATTTCTTCACAACCTGTTCAATAAAAGTTTAGAAATCCCAACATTACTTAGGTCTATAAAAGTTGCAGTAATCAAACCATTTTTGAAAAAAAAAACATCAGATATGGTAGCAATGTTGTGGCCGGCTACAGACCAATTTCGAGCCACAATTTCCAAATTATTTAACGTATCATCGCTCGTCAGTTTTTCGTCTACCTCAACAACAGCCCACTTGTTCAAAAAGATTCAATTAGGTTTTCGTCAAGCACATTCAATAGAGAGGGAGATATTGAAAATGGTTTGTAAAGTCTCTGATTTTGTTGATGCTGGTAGCATTGGATTGCTTGCAGGTTTGATGTAAGCGCTGCATCGACAGAGTAGATTTCCAGTTTTTTTCTAACTACAGGCCAATTTCGAAACTTTCATTTACCTCAAAGATTGTCGCTGAGAGTCTGCTGAGTCATTTAAAAAAAAATGGCCTCATGCCAATTCACCAGTCAGGCTACAGGCAATTTCATTCGACAAAGACGGCGCTAATACATGTTCTTTCCAAGCTAATCTCAGAAAAAGATGCCCGGAATGTTTCACTGTTGGCTTTCCTCGATATGTCATTAGCATTTGATTGTGTCAATCACCATATTCTTCTGTTAAAAAAGTTATATTATGGTTTTAGTAATTGTGATACTGCATATGCATGGTTTCTTACAGGATCGTACCGAGCAGGTTCTGTTTGGAGACACTTTATCAGAAATAAATTTTTTTTTCGTCCGGAGTACCTCAAGGTTCAGTGTTAGGGCTCATTCTGTTCTTGCTATACACATCGGACATAGCCAGGATGATAAATTCACATGGATTCACCTGCCACGCGTTCGTTGTTTCATAGAGAGATTAAAAGGTTTGTCAGATGTTTGACCGATGTTGAACGCTGGATGTCCAGCAATTCGCTTAAGTTGAATCAGTGCAAAACCCAACTGCTCCCGGTTGGCACTTGGCAGCAGTTGTCAAAGTAAACAAAAAGTAAAAGTAAAACTCGGTGGAAGTAAACAACATTGATATCAACATCCAATTTGGGAGTTTTAGTTGATTCTAATCTCACAATGAAAGAACACATAAAGAACGTATCAGTTGCTAGTATGTCTCACATCAGGGGATTGTACAGGGGCTGAGATTATAAGTATATAACAAAAATCATAAAAAATAAAATTTATTATAATCGAAAAATTATTATTTATATTATTTTTATTATTATAAACGAAAAAAATTGTTTTATTTTTATGAGAAATAAAACCACATATAAACGTCAAAATCATCAAAGATACTTGTTGTACGATTATTTTGTGCATTTGAATTAAGTTAGACTTAAAAAAAAATATAGTTAAACATGAAAAAACATTAAATTAATACCATTATGCTAATTTTCACAAATCCATTTTATTATATGAAAAATATATTGAACCCAACTTGTTGTGCCATTGTTCAGTTGATCTAAATAAAGATTGTTTAAAGTTTAGTAAACTTTTTAGAAAAGTTAAAATAGTATCATTGATAAAAATTGTATTTTGACTATTTAATAAATTTTTTTAGAAGCGTAATCAATTAATACCATTATACTAATTTTCAAATATCCATTTTATTATATGAAAAATATTTTCAAAATAACCTGTTGTGCTATTGTTCAGTTGATCTAAATAAAATTTGTCTTAAGTTTAGTAAACTTTTAAAAAAGTTAAAATAGTATCATTGATAAAAATTTGATATGATGATGAAATGTTTTCTTATTAATGATTTTAGCAGTTAATTGTTTTAGGTTTATGATAAAAAATTCTGCATAATTATTTAATAAAAAATTTTTAGAGAATGTTTTAATGCATATATTATCCTTGTAAATTTAGATAGTAAGACTGAGACTATAAATATAACACACAAATGAAAATTAAAAATGTTTTAATATTTTTTTTATATAAAAACCGACTGTTTTTAACCTGTTGTGGTAGTTCTCGGTGGAACTGATTTAATTTTTTTATGAAAATTAATAATTATAAGTCACAAACTTTGTATTAATTTTATAAAAATACTCTTGAAAAAGAAGATGTTTCAATGAAACCTGTCGTGTTTTTTTGTGGAGTTGTATGATTCATTTGATGATAAACGATATAAAACATCAACTGAAGTGGGAAAGCATCTTTAATGCTTACAATTCAAATAAAAAGTTTACTGGATATTTTGAATTTTTTAACTTCATGAGAAATTAAACCACATAAAAACGTCAAAATCATTTAAGATACTTGTTGTACGATTATTTTGTGCAACTGTTTTGAATTAAGTTAGATTTTAAAAAAATAT